AACTGTGAGAGATATTTCTATGAAAATTCTGTCACATCAACGTAACTATAGGCATAGTACATGTATTTTCAGATTAGATAGTTAATTACGTTTGACTAGTTGCTCGTCAGTAGTTATGTTATGTAACAGACAATAATTATAAGTGCCTTTTCTAGTTGATTTCTTTAAGTCTCTCGGTCAACCTCTCGTGTCTTTAGTCATCTTGTAAGTTGTATGCATGTGACTTTTCAACAAAATACATGTTCCCCTATGTTATACAGGCCCGTATAACATTGTTATATGTATTTTGTATGCATTGGTCGGTTGTAAGGGCGGCTACAACTGGAGTTGAGCAGAGGCCGACGCCGAGGTTAAAGCTTTTCTAAAGGAGGAAAGTCCATGTATGCATGTTTTCTTAACCGAATAAATATGTTTTGACAGAGATGACTAATTCTTTTATAGATTCATAGAAGTTCACGATCATGCAACAAGAAAAAGTCATAAATTGTTGGCAAAAGAAAACCCATAAATTATCGATGTTTATTATTACCTAAAAACTATACATATCTTAGGCCCATTTCCTATCATTTTAGGCTACGAAAATTCAAATGGCCCGTTTGCATTCTGTTTTTATTTTGTTTCTAAAATAATCCAACTAAAAATCCAATTCCGGAGTTAGCACAAAGTGCTAGAGCTCTACGTACTGATGTGTATTATGTAAATTTTGTTCCTCTGATCTGGATCCTCGAAATTGGTTTAGAAATAGAAGCTGTCGACCAAAAAAAAAAAAAGAATCCAATTCCAATTACGATCAAGTTGATTCCACTTCTTTATACAATGCAAGAAAAATGCCAGATTCTTCGTAATTAAACTAGTATTGTAATGATTTAGATACTAATATTACCCATTTGGATAATGATTTTACATAGCCTAATTAATTCCGACCCAACTCATACTCACTATTACCCAAGCTTTATCCAAAATGAATAGACATCATTTTTAATATGTAGAACTATTATTACATGCTTGGTATCTTATTATACAAAAGTAGGATTTAGGTGTGGATTAAGAAAATGTAGAGTTTCACTAATCCATCGGCAGAAAGACACAAGTTCACAGGAGAACAACATTTTTAGATGGTAAAAAAAAAAGGAAAGAGCTCCAGATTGAAATAACCATAGAAGGTGATGTGATGAATCCACTCAAAAGCCAAGTTCCATGGCCGGGACCATCCCACCAGAGGCTAAAATCTGTTGCTCCAGCTGCGTAGATTTGATCATGAACACCAAAATTGAATCAAATATGGCATATCATTCAATAAAAATATATGGATGGTTCTTGGTGATATAGTCCTCACCTTAAACAGTGTCTCCAATCTGTTCTTGACAAGATAGTACTCTTGCTTGACTTGTTGCAAACATCTATGACATCTGAAAAATTCATCGATTTGTTTCCTCCTAATTAGATAATTATAATCGGATATATAAAGAAGAATAAATGGACCAACCAACACAACAAACTAAAAACTCACGCTTCAACATTTTGTTGCTCGCAGAAGCTGCGGAAGACAACGCAAGCATTCTTAACTCTTTGTGCTCCTATACTGTTTGTTGGCAACATCACACACTCGAAAGCTTAATCATTCACACATTTCGTAGATGAACCTTATAACATCACTATGGAATCAGATCTGAATTAGAAGTACACAATTTTATTACCTTGAGCTGCTACCTTTGAGTTGATGAACATGAGGATCAACCTTTTTGAAGTCCACAACCTGTTGATCTCTGCAAAAGCATAAGAACATTTTAAAGAACATGTTTATGATAGAAAGAGCAGAAGAAGTTTAAAAAGAGAATGTATAATGAAGATTACAGGGAAAGTGAGAGATCATTGAGAATCCTGTCAGTGTCTTGGAAGAAAAGAGAGACAACTTGTGAAACAAAATCTGGATTGCTTTCATCTTGTAGTTGTTGCAGCTGCAAGAACTGGCTGTCCAAAATCCCCTTTTTTACCAAAACAAAGAATATTTCTATAATCAGAAACCAATTTTACATAATCAAACCTATGATTAGCTTACAAATAAAAATACAGATAAAACCTAAGAAAAAATTGTGAATATTTTATTTTTTCCATTTTTCTAATGTAAAAAACTTACTTCCAAGAAGAGTGATTTGGTGTAATCTTGCAAGCTCTTCTGCATCTGAACCAACTCCATCTCTTCTCTGCTCTTTTTTTTTTGTTTGTTCTTTACTCCTCTGTTTCTCTCTACCAATAATGGAGGAAGAAACAGTCTACCAAATCCTCAGTACTTAAAAGATATGAACAAAATCCTCCGTATCAAAAACCCATTTTTAAAAAATTAAAACTTTATTTTATTATGACAGTTTTAATTTGGATGTGAGTGAAGAATCCAGAAAGAAATCAACTTTAAAAAATGGAAGTTGGTCGTGCTGTCAACTGTCTAACCATTCGCGCCACTTTTTACCCTTATTTTGCGCTTTCTCCTCGTTTTCTCTTTTGCAGATGTGAAAAGGACATAAGAGCATTGATACTTTCTCTCTTTGTCCTTTTTTTTCTTCTCAATATTTTTTTTGTAACGTCTCGAATTTAAAAATTACTGTTCATCTAGTGAAAGCATATATTATATGCACTGCCTCCATTCAATGCATCTTTCTTTCCAATAGCATCTCTCTGGGGAAAAAAAATTATAGTATTTTCAAATTGATTGATCCTTGCTGATTTTGTCCGACTAGTATTTGTTTTATTATAAAACTCATTTCTTTACTCTCACAAAATCGTAACGTATTGAATTTATCAAGTGTGTTATGACTTTGAAATACCACGGGCCTAACATTTCGTATAACACATATCTAAACTCAATTAATGATCATACTGGCTCGGCATTGGGCCAAAATTTGACTTAGAGATTGGAAAAGAAATCACAACTAACAGACATCAACTACTTGACACTGTTCAAGTGCTTTTCTAGTTGATTTCTTAAAGTTTTTTCTCTTCAAAACGATTTTTGTTTTCTCTTAAATTTCTTCTAACTCTAAAATTGTCCAACTCTTTTACACCTCTCCGATATTTCCTTATATGTAGAGACAAGCGAAGTTACAATAAAAAGTAGCAAGTTTTATTAGTGGAAACAATAAATTCTCATATGCTGTCAAATATGGACGCAAACTGACCTTTAAAACCAACACAAACTCTTTTTGTTTTCAAATTTCATGTATTTCTATTAAAATCAGCTAACAATAAATCCAATGACTCAGGTTCTTTATATACTAACATTAAAATACAATATAGTTTTGAGTATTTTTAAATATATTTGTGTCTATTTCGTGATCACCAATCTCATCATTTCAACCGGCACTTCTTCATTTGTCATGTGTGATTTTCCGTCATTCCAAATACTTTCACAGTCATCTTCATATACACCCATTCTTATCTATTTTCGCATGCATAGTAAATGTCACATTCTTCCTTATTGTTTGTAACTTTGTATTTTCAATGACACTTCCAACACGACAAGCCAAAATAAAAAATAGTATAGTAGTATCACTGTATCTCTCTGAACATTTGGGTAAAGATCTCCGTTTTGACACGCCTCACATGACGAATGGGACATGCAAGAACGTACGATAAATGTAACCAATGGAATCAAATTTATTACATTAAGTAATCGAAATTATTAGTGGATCTTACTTGACAATGGGTCCATCGCCTTAGAGGCTGCTCCATCACTAATGGACCTTTCAAATCTTATTATGATGCTATGTTAATCTTACATTATCTCCGTATAAAAGTTAAACTGTGCTTCCTAGTTAGTTGTTAGCAAATACGTAAAAAAGTCAAGAAAGTATGCACTCACCCATATCTGCAAGCAATTTATTATCAGAAAATCATTAGCCAATAGCCAATTTAAATTTAAATATGTATAAAGCTAAAATTAAGTCACTGTAGAAGCAGCCAATTGTGAATTTTATTTACCCGAAATAAATAAAAGTGAACATGCATGACAAGGTAGTTAGGTAGTTCATTTTTTTGGTTCATTAACATTTTCAGGTTAAGTTCAATTTTAACAAGTAAAATAAATGAGATGTCCAATCTATCTTGTGTCTGTTCTGAGTGGTTAGATGTTAAAATGTTGTATTTGTTTTTTCTAAAAAAATTATTGTGAAAACAATCCATTTTGAAATCTCAATGCAAACACAAAATCACAACATTATGTATTTCAAAATTTCAAAATATATCTTGTTTATATAAAGAACAAAAAAAACATCTCCGTGCACTAGTTTTCTGTAAAAATAAACACATTGGTTTAACATGTATACACAAATGTTAATCAACCTAAATGGAAAAAAAAAAGAAGCTTATATTCTCTATCCATTTGCATTTCACATTTTTAACTTATGTTTGGTACCAGAAAACTATAATGTTGCATATTTCTTGAATGGAAATTTTTTTAAACAGCTAGCACATTTTAACATATTAAATGACATGGCGTTTTCCTAACCGTGTTATGTCGAGCTCAAGTTATAACCCGATAGTCTTACAAATTTTTCGAATCATAAAGAAACTTCTATTTAGATTCAGTCAAGAGTCATTGCCAAACATGCTTCAGCACCTTAGAAATGTCTCCTCCTTACAAACAAAGAAAGAAATGTCTTCTCCTTTAGGTCCAAAACTTAACTTTTTGTCTCTGTTCTTCTTATATGTGGAGGAAAAACAATCAACCATTTCAACATTATCGCGTCTTCGTGTGTAGACTTATAAAACAAACGTAATAATTTGACTTTGTCAAGTTCATTACCAGTTTTTTCCTACGGTGTTAAACCCAACATCTCGGACCGGATCAATGGTTTATAACAACTCTAATTCTTCTCTATAAATACGCATTAAACCAAGAACACACTTCATATTTTATTAAACAATCTAACTCTAGCTTTAAGCCCATGTCCGAAGCTTCTTCTTTGCTCATACCCAAAACAAACTCTCCAAACTCATCAGAACCAATGGCAAACAAATCCCTCACAGGCCTCGAGAGTCTCATAAAGCTTCTCCCAACAGGAACACTCTTTATCTACCTTTTACTCAACCCTATCCTCACTAACGACGGTGAATGCTCCACGGTAAATAAGGTCATGTCAAGCATTCTCGTCGCTCTTTGCAGCTTCTCCTGCGTGTTCTCATGCTTCACCGATAGTTTCAAAGGCGTTGACGGATCAAGAAAGTTTGGTATAGTCACCAAGAAGGGTCTTTGGACTTATGGGGAACCAGGAACCGTGGACTTGTCCAAGTACAAGCTCAGGATCGCGGATTTCGTCCACGCGGTTTTTGTGTTGGCTGTGTTTGGGACACTGGTGTTGCTTGACGCTAATACCGCAAACTGCTTTTATCCGCGGTTCAGAGAAACGCAAAAGACTTTGGTCATGGCTTTGCCTCCAGTCGTAGGCGTTGCCTCGGCCTCTATCTTCGCCTTGTTCCCGAGCAAACGGAACGGACTCGGGTATGCTCCGGCTAATGAGGAGGTGGAGGAGACCAAGAAGGATTCTCTCCCTGCCTAAGATGTGTTCGGTGTTCCTTATACTGTTTCTTCTAAATTGTTGTATTGTAGTATATGTCAAGATTTGTTGTATATTAGTATAAGAAAACGATTTGTTTGTTTAAAACATTCATTTAGTTATTTGTAATCTTATAATATATTAGAATAAAACGTCATGCTATAAAAACAAGAATTTTGTCAACTGAGATTATATGAAAGTTTCTTTGCCCAAAAAAAAAAGAAAAAAAGAAAATGAATGTTGATTATTAAACTTTATGAAGACATCAGATTTCCAAATTTCCATGTGTCTTGTGACATCAAATTAGCTTTGATCCGGATGATCTTCTGCTTAGCTTTCTTGCGAGAATGTTTGAAGCTGCCTCGAGATCGCTCTTTGGCTATAACTAAATCCACTTTGACTATATGATGATCAGAAGTACCTTTGGAAGAAACAACCGAATAAGAGCCTGGAACAAACTCGTATGGTGACTCTGGAGATGCCAGAATGTAGTCCACTCGTGTCCCGTACTTGCATGTTCCTTGTACATCTGCATCATCAAGATCAAGACTTAAACTATGATTTGGTATAAAGATACTAATGGAAGAATCAAAACAGAGAAACAGAGAAACTAACTTTGGCCTTTAGCAATAATGACTACAGGTTCACATTCTCCTGCAAATTCTTTAGAATCTGAATATCCTTTTCCCTTGAGAAATCTCATCACTTCAACTCTTGGCGTTGGCTTTCCAGAATCCTCGTAATACTGTTTTCGCATACTAAGTTATGACCCAAACCTAAGATACTATATCGTTTAGTCTTTGATAGCTTATGAGTTTCTTTTACCTTTACAATGTGGTTCCATCTTGCTATGGAATAATCAGAGCCATCAAGAGAATTCAAGCCTCCAAGCAAGATGTGTGGAGAGTCATCTCCTCGAGTAATCGCATCGATTTGCTTCATCCGCCAGTTCTCATCTAGATGGTCAAGCTGAGTACAATACACGTTTACTTCTCCAGCCCATGGGACCTCTATAGTCACCTTCAACACATTCCTTCACACAAAAACATTTCATCTCTTATGGCTCCTATAACCTTACTTTGATTTAAACTTCTTCAAAACTTGGAACACAAGTTTAGATTTGGGAAACGAAAATGCACCACCTAACTCTACAAAATTACTACATCTAAGATCCGCAGTCTCATGAGCTTACAGTTAAAAATCAATACTTTCAGGTTGTTATAGCATTGTAGTTTATGGAAAAATGTTAAGCAAAGAGATTCTTCTAATCACCTGAAGTCATCAGCATCAGCGATTCTTTGAACTCTCCATTTCTTGATTGGCCATTTTGACAATATGGCATTGCCATACTCTGGCGCCCAGCTTTCTGCAAACACATACTTCATACCTAAAGCGGAAGCCAAATCCGACAAAGGCTTCATAAGATTCTCTTCCTCTGCTTTCACATCTTGCAAGGCCAAAACGTCTGCATCCAACTCTCCTAGCAACTCAGCTACGCTTCTTCTGCTGCTGTATCCGTTAAAGCTTTCTTGTTCCCACCAACAAGAGGGAAGACACACAGGAGATCTCATAGACATACTTCCTCTGTTTTCCTTCCCGTCGTTCTCCACCATGCTCAGAAAGCTGTAGCTCTGTGATAAAGAGATCTCATTGTCTGGGAGATTAATGCACACCTTTGGTTTCTTGACCGCAGATGAATGTAAAGGAGACTGCTTCAGAATCCCTGTTGGAGAAGGGCTTGTGATGTTGCTGCTACCGAACAAAGCTGTTTCCTCCTCCATGTTGTGCACGACAGGCGCAAGCGAGAACATTGCTACGTTAAACGTGGCAACACGAATCTGTCTTCTGGTGTTTGAGCTCAGATGGATGGAAGAAATCTCGGTCTCCTTTCGTCGAGCTCCCCACTTTCCTTTCCTCAACCTCCTGATGATAACTCTGGCCTTAACCCGTTTCTTGATGACCCATCGAAGTCTTGTGAAAAGGCAACGAAGCCTCCTTCTAAACACACACAGCATGTAACCTCTCTGGTTTGTCTGATCCAAAATGGACAAAAGATTCACACTTTTAGTGATTTCCTAACAAAAGGTACAAACTTTTCATGAGCATGTCTGATCAATAAAGAGATGAGATTTTAAAGTGTTTATGAAGAGAAGCCATGAGCTTTAACTGCTCCAAGTTTTGGTTGAGAAATGATAAATTCAATCAAATTCTGTTGAGCGTCTCATTCTGAAATGTCAAAGAATGCAAACCTGCTACAAGAAAAAGAACCAAAAACCTTACCAGTTCTTCAACCTTCTCCATGAAATTCTCACAAGTAGGTTAAACAGAAAACTGACAAAACAGAATTATATTTTATACAAGAGAGTACCAGACTTAATGAAACCGTAGGTTTCCTAAAGCTATTTTTATCATATCTTATGGCATGAATAAGGATTATGGCTACATTTGTTGACTTTTATCAAACAAATTACCAACCCTGAGACCAAAATATCTTTTACACTTATATAGTTTGGCATGTTCTTGAATGACTTTTCCAAGCAATCCTTAATCAAAATCGCTCTTTTTTTCCATTAGCAATAGGTTCTTTTTAAAATGCCACATCTTGATAAAATACATAAAGATGCTCCAAAGGCACATAAAGAGAAAGACAAGAAGAAGAAATGAGATTACATATCAGAGAGGTCAGCTCTTTTCCTTTTGCCTCCAGCTTGCTCCATTTGAACCAAACTCGGAACATAATTTAGGACACCTACCAAAGCTCCAGGATGATCATCGCTTCCAAAATCCAATGTTGTGACGTCACTGTCCTCCTCAACAATGTATATCAACTCTTTGCTCTTGAAGTCGGGGTCGTCTTCCTCGTCCATCCAACTCACATAAATCACGACGACCTTCTTCTCCTCGTCGAGCAAGAACGATGCCATCTCACAAAGTTGAAGATCAGGGCTCAGGTCCAATGATAAGACCTTGCTCCACGACACCACCTGGGTTTCTTGTAATCCGGTTTCCTTTCCTAGTTATGTTTTGCCTTTCAAAGAATATGACTAGATGTTATCTTTGTGCATTTGGTTTGTCAAGCAGGAAGATGGCGAAATTTATTAAATCCCATCCGACTGATCCTACTACATCACAGACATGCTTTTAATATCTTAGTTAAACTTCACTCCAAATGTGCTATAAAAAGGATGATCGTAATTGATCTACTGACTTTGTTTTTGATGCTAAAACATTGAAGGCAAAAAGCGCTCTGATTAAGCAGTAAAAGTAGAAGAGTGGGACCGATTCACCACCTAGAGGAGGATCGTGAACAAGAAGAAGAGTACATATACGCTGTCTTGTGCAAGAAAATGAACCTTACGCTGTGTAATGGTCTCCAATCTTGATGCAGAAACAGAGAAAGCCTTTAAGCATTTCCATATAGGAGAGAAAATGAAGAAAACAAAACGTATAAAAGCAGACAACTTCCATTTTAGTATCTACTCTCTCAGGAACACACTGAATCTAAAGAGAGAGGTGAAGAAGACAACTAACAACAACTCAAGCTGCAAATACACTAAACTCGGAAGTCAGCTCTTTTCCTTTTGCCTCCAGCTTGCTCCATTTGAGCCAAACTCGGAACATAATTTAGGACACCTACCAAAGCTCCAGGATGATCATCGCTTCCAAAATCCAATGTTGTGACGTCACTGTCCTCCTCAACAATGTATATCAACTCTTTGCTCTTGAAGTCGGGGTCGTCTTCCTCGTCCATCCAACTCACATAAATCACGACGACCTTCTTCTCCTCGTCGAGCAAGAACGATGCCATCTCACAAAGTTGAAGATCAGGGCTCAGGTCCAATGATAAGACCTTGCTCCACGACACCACCTGGGTGGTCCCATTCTCATCAATCTTATTTGACACCCATATCTCAGTCTTGGATGTTCTTTCGCGCTGTAACAAGACCGAGAGCTTCTCGTCTTTAACAACGGAAACACATGCAGCTTGAGGAACGTCTCTACACTCATAGGGAAGAGGCACAGGCACACATTTCTCCGTTGAGAAATCAAACCTGAGCAAGGACAGGAAGGAATGCGTCTTTGTCTCGTCTACACCGGAAGCGAACCAGTAACAACTTCCCTTCAAAGACACGTTTGCAGCCGAGTATCCAATACTCCAGCCTGGAGGCATGGCATCATCACCAACAACCCTCCACGTGTCAGAGCTGAACTCGTAGATTTCAAAATCATTCTTTCTATGACGATAGCTCAAGACTTTGTAGCTCTTGTTCTCGCCGTAGTATCCGAGGGCAAAGCCGCTGCCTCTCGTGCCACCACAGCTGGGTTGGACCCACCTGGTGAAACCAGTAAAAGGGTTCCAAACCACGAATCTTGATCGGTCTTTGTTGGTGCATAACAAGAAGCCGTCACAGTGAAAGACTGCGCCTACATCGAATTGAGCTCCAGGATACTTAGGATACGGATCGTCTATGCTAAGCTCTGTTCTTAGCTCTAAACATGAAAACTGTCCGTCGCCATCGATTATCGGACAAATCCTGAAGCCATTCGTCAACATGAGACCCAGAAACTGCTTCGCGGCTTTGTCGGTGTGGTTCCTTGCGAATCTCCGGTCACCGGTAAACAAACGGTTCCATCGTTTACAAGTAGATCCCAATCCTTTCAGATACGTGGCCGGGACTTGAGTCAGTATCTCCTCCTCTACCAATTCCTCTGGAAGAGCTCTGAATATCTCCATCGTCAGTCTCGTCCGTCACTGGTCGGTCTCTCTCTAGTCTCTAGGGATTGTGTGAGTCGGCCTGTCAATTTGTGACTCGACCCGCGGATTTAATATATTTGGCGGGTTGGCGGGTTACCCGCAAAACAACAAAAAAATGATAATTTTATTAAAATTAAAAAATATTAATATTTATATAACAATTTTTATTTAAAATTTTCAAAATCTTAAGCAATATTTATAAATTATTTAATAGCTTTTTCAAATTCATAAAAACAATCTATATCTTTATGCTTTATTTTATAAAATATTTTTTTGTGAACATTTTATTTTGTTAAAAATTGTCTTGTAATAGTTCTCATAATTTGCATTAGATTAGTCATAAAAAATAAATAAAAAAAAAAAAAATTGATGTTTAAAAATTGTCTTTTTTACTTTCTCTTTGTGACCAAACAAGTTAATACAGTATATATTCTGTGGAGACTCTGACCAATCAAACTTTAGTGGTACACTGGTACTTACGATGAATGATTTTTTTGTTATATTGATTTTCACAAGTTTGATTGGCCTAGTCATCATCAATGCTACATCCCCATAGGCAAAGATGATAACATCATTAATGTTACAAAGGATAGGCATGTAATTATATGATGTTTTATTTTTGCTAAAAGATCTCCAAACAAAAAAAAAGCTAATAATAAGTTTTCTTGATGCCCCGGTTTTCATCGCAGGCTTTTCTGATGCGTGGGAAAATGTTATGGAACTAAGTCTATTATATGCTGTTGATTATTGAGACCATGGTGAGAAGATGATTATATAGCTGGGCCTGGGAAGAGAGAAAAGTAAACTGCAACAAGTTGTTTAAGTAGAGGACTTGGCAATATATTAATGACAGTGATCAAATCTAGTTACCAATTCCATTGACCAAAATTAAACAATTCGTTTTGATGATGAGCTTAGTTTTTGAGTTCACACGGTAATTACTAGCTTATCTAAAAATAAACAATTCGTTTTCATGGTTTGCATGTTTGTTCAAACTTCAAAGGCATCACATTACTTATCAACAAAGACCGAGAGTGGTTCTCTCAGAAATCAACCAAACCTTCTCACCATTTCTTCTGATTCTCATCTCTATTTCTTTATTTCTCTTGTTATCCTTTCTATCATCTTTGGATAGATTTTGTCATTCCGAGTCTATCAGATTTCTATTGTTCTAGTGATATATTATATATAGGATTATGACATTCTGTGTGCGAGTGAAAGAGAGAGAGAATGTCATATTATGTAGATAATAGATCTGTAAGCTCAAAATGGTAGAACGCTCTTCTTCTTCTTTGGAAGTTGAGAGGATGGTGGTTTCGAATCCACCCAGATTTGCATTGATTACTTGCTACAGTGTAATCTTAGTTTGTTTTTCTTTGTTTAATCTTTGAAGTTCTGTTAATATTTCTGTTAAGGTTGCTTGTTGTTTCTTGAGCTTGTTAGTCTCTTACTTGTGTCGTATGTTGCTTCTAGAATGGGTACAACAACTTAGAGTTAAGATCATGCCCGTCAGAAGAAGTTGTACTATATTAAGACTGGCTATGTAATAGATACTGGTTTTGTGCAGCAAGCAACACATAATAGCATATGTATATGGAAAATGTGTGGTTATTGTGAGTACAAAGCTTTGTTTTAAGCTGACATGTTCTTCTTGAGACAGATTTTTTTTTATTTAAACAAATAATCTGTACTTGTATTATATGAATTTGAGATTAAAATAGGATAAAGACTTTATCAAGGTAATAATCTCGTTGTGAGCATCAAAGCGTATATAAACACACACACACACACACAAAAAAAAGGCATTACCTTTCTTAATATGTTAGCAGCATAGCACTTGTGGAGAGATGTTTTGTGAATCACTTTTGTCACTCTGCTTTAGATTACATGCAGGCATCATTGGAGATAAATAGAGACAAGGGACAAGAAGAAGAAATGAGATTACATATCAGAGAGGTCAGCTCTTTTCCTTTTGCCTCCAGCTTGCTCCATTTGAACAAAACTCGGAACATAATTTAGGATACCTGACACACATTGATTCGGTCCATCTAGTCCAAAATCCACTTGTGTGACTACATTGTCCTCCCCAGCAATGTATATCATGTCTTTGTTCTGCCCCAGGTCCTCCTCTTCAACTTCAAAGTCAAACCACTGCTCAGAAACCACGACGACTTTCTTCTCCTCGTCGAACAAGAAACTCCCCTCGTCATAAACTTGAACATCATTATGCGGGCTCAGATCCAATGCTAAAACCATGTTCCACGACACCACCTGGCTGTTGGTCTCGTCAATCTTATTCGTCACCCATATCTCAGTCTTGGATGTATCGTCGAGCTGTACCAAGAGCGCAAGTTTCTCGTCTTTCACATTGGTAAGCCTTAAAACTTCAAAACGACCATCAGGCTGCGATGGATAGGGAAGAGGCACAAGTAGACATTTCTCTGTTGAGAAATCAAACTTGATGATTTGCGTTGTTGGTTCATCATAAGCGACCCAGTAAGCACTTCCCTGCAAAGACACGGTGATACTCGAGTATCTAAGGGTGAAGCCTGGAGGCAAGATATCACCAACCACCCTCCACGAATCAGAGCTGAACTCGTACATTTCATAATCTTTCCTACCACGATAATAGCTCAAGATTTTGTAGCTCTTGTTTTTGCCGTATCCGAGGGCAAAGCCACGGCCTATCGTGCCACCAGAGCTGGGTTGGAACCATCTGGTTTCACCAGTTAACGGGTTCCAAACCACGAACCTAGACGCGTCCTCGGAGGTGCATAACAAGAGGCCGTCGCAGTGAAAGACTCTGTACACATCGAATTGAGCTCCGGGATGCTCAGAATGCGGATCTACTAGGCTAAGCTCTGTTTTTACCTCGAAAGTTGGAACCTTTCCGTCGAGATTGACGATTGCCGGACAAACCCTGAAGAAATTCGTCAACATGAGAACCACAAACTGCTTTGCGGCTTTGTCGCCGTGCTTCCTTCCGAATCTGCGGTCACTGCTAAACAGACGGTTCCATCGTTGACAAGTAGATCTCAATCCGTTCAGATACTTAGCCGGGACTTGAGTCAGTATCTCCTCCTCCACCAATTCCTCTGGAAGATCTCTGAATATCTCCATCGTCGTCACTCTCTCTCTCTCTCTCCCTAACGAAAACGCCCAAATCTACTCTCACTCATTAATGCTCTCGAGCTTTTCACCGTGATCGATTTCCCGCAGCTGGTGATAGAGGAAACTTAGTAATCGCTTAAGTAACCGACAGAAAGGGAATCTATGTTCGAAAACACACAAATTCCGAGCTCACGAATCCGACGAAAGAAAGGAATCTCAGGCAACAATGATCTCAGTTTCAGAGAGAATAGAGGTTTGGAGAAGAAGACAACTTTTCTGTAATAATCTCGATTAAAAGTTTCTAAGTGACATTACAAACTCTTATAATGAAAAATGCAACAAATATTAAAACGTAGCGTTTTGTTTACTCTGCAAAACTCGTCGTTTAGCTTAACTCTCTTTACTTCTTTCCTGTATCAAGCTGGAAACAAATCAAGATGATGGTATATACTATATACTATGTCTTTATCGATTTTTCCCTATATTAATCATTACATTAATTTTATGCGTTAATTCTAACAAAAAAATATTCTAGTTGTTGCTTTCAAGGGTATACAAAGTAGAGATCCATGTGTCCCTAAACAGTTCATGTGGGATGGTTTAAACTGCAACAGTTCAGATATTTTCAACGCCACCTATAGTCACCTCCTTGTAAGAACATTCTTTAAGCTAATGCAGTATTGTGTTACTCATGTCACATCGTGTTGTCATCTTTTTTTTTTCTTCTTCTTGAGAACGTTTGGTCCATCTTTACATTATTTGTTCATAAATGTGTCCTTAGAAACTAATCCTCAAGTCAATTAACCGGGATCATCGCGCCTGGGATTGAGATTCTAATCCACCTACAAGAGTTGTAAGTATCTCTCGGATTAAAATATAATTTGTTCACCTTAGTTGTATCCTATTCATAACATATTTCGTACCTACAAATGCTTAAACAGAGACTTGTCTAATAACAATTTGACTGAGATTTTTCCGAGTATTTAACTCCCGGATAAGTAAAGATTTAGCTCATAACACACATAAACTACTAAATAACAATTGTTCAAATTGATCCATTATCCAGATTAATTACGGATGCAAATTCTGATTTCCAAACCATATGAAAAAAAAAGGTGGCATAGAGTCATTCAAACAATGTTCTGTCATTTAGAACCAAAGGAGATAGTAGACTAGACCACAATTGTTGGTGAAGTAACTCCAGGTCAATGCTCACTAATCTCAGCTCTTTTCCTTTTGCCTCCAGCTTGCTCCATCTGAACCAAACTCGGAACGTAATGAAAGATACCTGACACACATGGATTCGCTTCGTCTGGTCCAAAATCCACTTGTGTGACTACATTGTCCTCCCCAGCAATGTATATCATCTCTTTGCTCGGGACATCGTTCTCGTCTTCAGCTTCAAAGTCAATCCACGTCTCAGAAATCACGACGACTTTCTTCTCCTCGACGAACACGAAACTCCCGTCGTCAGAAACTTGAACATCATTGTGGGGGCTCAGATCCAATGCTAAAACCTTGGTCCACGACACCACCTGGTTGTTGGTCTCGTCAATCTTGTTTGTCACCCATATCTCAGTCTTGGATGTCTCTTCGACCTGTACCAAGAGCGAAAGTCTCTCGTCTTTAACATTGGTAAGCCTCGAAACTTCAAAACGACAAACAGGCTGCGATGGATACGGAATAGCCACAGGTACAAATTTCTCTGTTGAGAAATCAAATTTGACCAAGCACGAGATGGTAACCGGTTTTGTTGCGTCTATACCGAACCAGTAACTACTTCCCTGCAAAGACGCGGTGATACTCGAGTATTGAAGGGTGAAGCCTGGAGGCAATGACATCATCAACAACCCTCCACGAATCAGAGCTGAACTCGTAGATTTCAAAATCTTTCCTACCACGATAATAGCTCAAGATTTTGTAGCTCTTGTTTTTGCCGTATCCGAGGGTAAAGCCACGGAGTACAGTGCCACCAGAGCCGGGTTGGAACCACCTGGTTTCACCGGTTAACGGGTTCCAAACCACGAATCTAGACCCGTCCTTGCAGGTGCACAACAAGAGGCCGTCACAGTGAACGACTCTGTACACATCGAATTGAGCTCCGGGATACTTAGATTGCGGATCTACTAGGCTAAGCTCTGGTTTTACCTCGAAAGTTGGAACCTTTCCGTCGAGATCGACGATTGCCGGACAAATCCTGCAGAACTTCGTCAACATGAGAACGACAAACTGCTTTGCGGCTTTGTCAAAGTGCTTCCTTCCGAATCTCCCGTCACCGGTAAACAAACTGTTCCACAGTTTACAAGTAGATCCCAATCCTTTCAGATACTTAGCCGGAACGTGAGTCAGTATCTCCTCCTCCACCAATTCCCTTGGAAGATCTCTGAATACCTCCATCGCCGCCACTCGTCTCTCAGCTTTCCCGGAGAATTGATTTGCTTCGATGCGAGCTAGAATCTCTGTCATCCGATTCATGTTGCTTTCCATGGATTCGAATCGCCGATCCATCATATCCAAGCGACCAGTGATCTCCGTTATCGCATTCGTCAAACGATTCGCCAAGATTTCTTTCACCTCTGGTAAATCGCTCTCGAAATCCACCATTGTTGACTGTCGCGAGCTCGAATTTGTCACCACACCAATTGTTAAGAGAATCGATCGATAGTTTTATTCTACTCTTTCTGTTTTGTTTAAGCTTCACCTTTTTAGAAATTCTCAATATATATATAGACTTTAAAAATAAAAAGGAAATTTCACCAAATTGGATGTATAAAATTTAACCGCCATTGCCACATGGGTCAAAATTAGTAATAGAGAATGATTAACTTCACATCAATTGAGAACAGAACCATCGGTCTAACTAGAAGAAAATGAACCTTACCCTGTCTCGTGGTCTCCTATTTCGATGCACCAAGAGAGAAACCCTTTGATATGTTATAAACAGCCTGACCCTGATTCAATGAGAAGAAAACGAAAACGTTCCAGCAACAAAAGAAGACAACTTTTCTTTTAGTGTCTACTCTCAGGAACACACGAATGTAGCTGCAAAGACACTACAAAGCTGTGGAGCTTGGTATATAGCTATATAGTACCGTCCAAGATATAACATTTTAGCATCGGTGTGACTTTCTCGGGACCATCGATCCCTCTTGAAGGATCTCTTATCAAACTGTTTATTTGCTCAACTTGAAAGGTGACTAAGGTGATGATGATTTCTAGCTGTAAAGGAAAACTCAGAAAAGAGAAAAGCAGAAAGCTTTGTACATGTTTTATGAATCGCTTTTGTCAGTGGATTGGAAAAGCTGCAAATTTATTTGACACAATTCCTCTTCTTTAGATTATACATGTAGGCGCTACAATGCAGGCATTGGAGATGCTCCAAGACACATAAAGAGAAAGACAGAACAAGAAATAAGATTACATAATCAGAGGTCAGCTCTTTGCCTTTTGCCTCCAGGTCGCTCGATTGGAACCAAACTCGGAACATAATCAAGGATAACTGCCTGACATCCATTAACTTCCTCTAGTCCAAAATCCACTTGTGTGACTACATTGTCCTCCCCAACAATGTATATCATGTCTTTGCTCGGGGTCTCGTCTCCAAAGCCACCGTCTCCAAAGTCACCGTCTCCATAGTCACGCCACTTCTCAGAAATCAAGACGACTTTCCTCTCCTCGTCGAACACGAAACTTCCCTCGTCAAAAACTTGAAGATCAGGGCTCAAGTCCAATGTCAAGACCTTGCTCCACGACACCGCCTTGGTGGTCTCACCAATCGTATTTGACAACCATATCTCAGTCTTGGATGCAACGTCGCGCTGTAACAAGAGCGAGAGTTTCTCGTCTTTCACAACGGAGAGAGATGTAACCTCACAACGACGATTAGGCAGCTGATAGGGAAGAGGCAGAGGTACACATTTCTCCGATGAGTAATCAAACTTGACCATGGACACGAAAGTATCCGTTTTTGTTTCATCATGAGCGAACAAGTAAGTGCTTCCCTGCAGAGACACGCTCAAACCGCAGCATCCAAGGGTGAAGCCTCGAGGCATGGCATCACCAACAACCCTCCACGAATCAGAGCTAAACTCGTAGATTTCAACATCTTTCTTATCAAGATAATAGCTTAAGATTTTGTAGCTCTTCTTCATGCCGTATCCGAGCGCAAAGATGCGGCCTCTCGGGGGACGATAGGTGGGTTGGAACCACCTGGTTTCGCCGGTTAACGGGTTCCAAACCACGAATCTAGACTCGTCCACGGAGGTGCATAACAAGAGGCCGTCACAGTGAAAGACTGCGCCTACATCGAATTGAGCTCCAGGATGCTCAGAATGCGGATCGACTAGGTTAAGCTCAGTTTTTACCTCGAAAGTTGGAACGTTTCCGTCGAGATCGACGATTGTCGGACGAATCCTGAAGAACCTCGTCAACATGAGAACCAGAAACTGCTTGGCGGCTTTGTCGCTGTGCTTCCTTGCGAATCTCCGGTCACCGGTAAACAAACGGTTCCATTGTTTACAAGTCGATCTCAATCCGTTCAGATACTTAACCGGAACTTGAGTCAGTATCTCCTCCTCTACCAATTCCTTTGGAAGAGCTCTGAATATCTCCATCGTCAGTCGTCGCTGCCACTGGTCTCTCTCTAGTCTCTAGGGCTTGTGAACTTTTCAATTTACAGCTTTCCTCTTCACCAAATCTTTGATATATAGAGTGGTGAAAAAAAAAGAGGAAATTTGACAAATAATCTTATGGAAACATAACATTTGAATGTTTTAAAATGATTGATTTTCATGTGTCAAAAGAGAAGAGACGATGATGACATTTAAACACTGCTTTGTGTGGCAAACTGATTAATTTGAATTTATTCTTACCTCTTCTAAACAAGTTTCTAAACTTAACACTCTAATAACAGGTTACATTCACTGTAATGAGTTTTTTGTTGAATAAATATTACTACTACACAGCAACAAAAACAAAATTGAAAAAGGAGATGAAGAAACGATGTTGATGAAGCTTAGAACTTGATTCTTTTAGCAGGACCTTGTTCGATAATAGGATCAATCTGAGGCTGTTGAGACTCTCCTCCTTGTGTTCCAAGCTCTTCCTTCTCTCCTAATGCTTCTTGGCTAACATATCCTTCAGGAAACGGTGGTGGCGGAGGAGCTGGAGGTAACTGCAACACACAACACACAACAAAAAAACCAAGTTTGTTACAATCAGAAGAGAAAGGTATAGCAAGTAGAGAGCAGATTCATTCTCACGCCAAATGTACCTTGCGATATAAAGAAGTAAGAATCACATCGACTCGCTTCATTTCCTTTAGATCAACCGTCTCACTAGCAGGCTTTGGCTCCGAAGCTTCCTTCTTCTCGCTTTCAGCATCAACTGAAATCCATCGATAGATAAAATCACAAACATTGATGAAGCAAGTTATATACTAAAGCAACAGATACACAAGTTGCTTGACAAAGCCATATACTTGTTCAACATTGGCCATTAACAAAAAGAACCTTACCCTGTCTAATGGTTTCCAATTTCGATGCAGCAACAGAGAAAGCCTTTGATATGTTATAAACAGCACGACCCTGATTCAAAACATTTCCATTTATGAGAAAGAGAAAAAAACGAAAACGTTCCAGCAACAAAAGCACACAACTTTTATATCAGTAATCTACTCTCTCAGCAACAAACGAACCTATAGAGAAAGGTGAAGAAAACAACTCACCACTCGAGCTGCGAAGACGCTACAAAGCTGAGGAGCTTGGTATATAGTACCGTCCAAGATATAATATGTCAGCATCGGTGTGACTCTCTCTGGACCATCCCTCTTCTGCTTACGAAAGACGAACAGATTTGGCTCAGTAGCATCAGAGATCACATATTCTAGGCCTGTCATCTTCCTGCAGAGGAATGTAGTATGATCAAATGTGGTTTTATATCTAACACTCTAATCCAGTGATGGAGCAAAAGTAAAAAAGGGGGAAAATCGAAATCGAAATCAAAATTGAAATTTGAAGTTGAAATTGAAAGGGTAAAAGGAGCTTACGAGAGGTGAGAGTGATCGAGAGGGTGAATGGATCTCCGACGAAGCGTCTCGTTGTTGCAGGTGATATCGTAAAAGGGAGACAAAGCGAAGTAGTCGAAGACGTAGTTACGGTCAAGAGGGTATGAATTGATCCAGAGCTGATCCCTGAAGCAAATTCCAGTCATATCCGTGCCCGGAGGCTGCATCGGAGGAGCAATCTGCTCCGCCGCATTGCCGTTGAAGGTCTCGGCCGTCGCCGTCGAGAGGAGAGAGGAGTCCATGGCAGTGAATCACTTTGCCGCCGTGAGCGAGAGAGAGAGAGAGAGAGACAAAAAAAGAAGTTTCGGCCCATTAGTTTTTATATTGGCCCAATATAATTATGTTGAGTGTGTATAGTTAAATTAAATTAAATTAATCAATTTTCTGACTAAAAAGTAAAAACTAGAAAACTGCTGAAGGGTTGATTTACATTATAAACAAATGATGAATGATGAGATTTGTGTTCAACTATTGAATTCTAGTCCGATGATATTGATAACCTAATTGATTAGAAGGAATCACAAACAAAGAATGATCATCGAATGAAATTAAAACACAAAGGTCAAACTGTCAAAGTCAACCACCATTTTGAGTCATTAAGAATGTTTTGTGTGTTGCATGCACGTCTCCTCTCTGGACCAGCAAAGCCAGTTGCTACCTTAACTTTTATATTCGTTCTAAATCTTTGCCTTCGGGACCATTGTAATCTTTCAAATCTTTAAGTCTAAATTTATACTAAACGGCACTGGAAGATGAAGAATATATTATATTGGATCGTTGAGTTTTTTTTAAAAATGATAGGATGCAAATCAAATCATACTTGTTCGTATAATTTATTTTGGTTGCAGACAGCTATCTCTCATTATTCCACAAGTTGACCTACAAAAATAACGTCGTGCTTATTTGTTTTCGATAATCTCAAAACATTTGTGTGTGTGTGTGTGTGTTTTTTTTCCTTTTTGTAAATGTCTATCTCCTTTGTTTGCACCATAGAAGAATAATGGAGAAACATCCTCAAGCACTTCTGATATTTTCTTTGATCTTCATCACCTTTTCTGCCCTACATCCCGTAGAAGCTCAGGACCAAAAAGGTATGTAAATTACATATAATTATTATGTTGTTTTTATCACTTTGTTCCTATACCTTTTCTCATGTGTGTCAATGTGTGTTACTAGGATTTATAAGTTTGGATTGCGGGTTATCGCCTACCGACCCTTCTTTCAACGATCCTTCAACCGGATTAACATACTCAACAGACGATGGTTTTGCGCATAGTGGCAAAACCGGAAAAATCAAGAAAGAATTCGAGTCGATCTTCAGTAAACCGGCTTTGACGCTTAGATACTTCCCGGATGGAGTCCGAAACTGCTATACGTTGAATGTCACGCAAGACACAAACTATCTCATCAAAGCCGTGTTCGTGTATGGTAACTACGATGATCTTAACAACTACCCGAGTTTTGATCTTTACCTTGGTCCAAATCTATGGTCAACCGTTGATATGAACGGGCGGACTAATGGCACTATCGAAGAGATCATCCACCGGACCAGATCCAAGTCTCTTCAGATCTGTTTCGTTAAGACAGGAACAAGTAACCCTATGGTGAATACCATAGAGCTACGACCACTTAAGAACAATACTTACAATACTCAGAGCGGCTCGCTCAAGTATTTCTTCCGATATTATTTCAGCACTTCAGGCCGCAACATACGGTATTGTTTTTCACTTCGGTTTATTTAATATAAACATTTTTCTACCATTCGGTTTACTATTAAATTTGGTTCGTTGTGTAAGTCCACACCTATGTAATATTATATATTTTTTGTTAGGTACCCAAATGATGTCCATGATCGTAAATGGTATCCCTTCTTTGATTCAAAAGAGTGGACAGAAGTAACTACCGATCTTAATGTAAACACTTCAAATGGTTATGAACCACCACAAGCTGTAATGGCGTCGGCCTCAACGCCTATAAGTACTTTTGCGCCATGGAACTTCACATGGTCATTGCCGTCTTCAACGACCCAATTCTATGTCTACTTGCACTTTGCCGAGATTGAAACTCTAAGTTCACTCGACACTAGAGAATTCAAGGTGGAGTTGAATGGGAAACTAGCTTATGAACGTTATAGTCCTAGAACGTTAGCCATGGAAACTATATTCTTCTCAACACCACAACAATGTGAAGGAGGAGAATGCATCTTGGAGTTAACGAAGACGCCCAAGTCTACTCTTCCTCCTCTCATTAACGCTCTCGAGCTTTTCACCGTGATCGATTTCCCGCAGTTGGAAACAAATCAAGATGATGGTATATATGTCTATACCTCTATATTAAGATGATCCTTACATTTGATTTTATGCGATGATCATTGATGCTAACAAGAATTTTATTCTAGTTGCTGCTATCAAGGGTATACAAAATACTTATGGATTGAGTAAAGTTAGCTGGCAAGGAGATCCATGTGTCCCTAAACAGTTCTTGTGGGATGGTTTAAACTGCAACAGTTTAGATATTTCAACGCCACCTATAGTCACTTCCTTGTAAGAATAATCTTTAAGCTATTGTGTTACTCATGTCACATCGTGTTGTCATCTTTTTATTCTTCTTGATAACGTTTGGTCATATTTACATTATTTTTTCATAAATATGTCCTTAATTAGAAACTTATCCTCAAGTCAATTAACCGGTATCATCGCGCCTGGCATTGAGAATCTAATCCACCTACAAGAGTTGTAAGTATCTCTCGGATTAAAATATAATTTGTTCACCTTAGTTGTATCCTAATTATAACATATTTCGTACCTACAAATGCTTAAATAGAGACTTGTCTAATAACAATTTGACTGGCGGAGTACCCGAGTTTCTTGCTGGCATGAAGTCACTTTTGGTCATGTAAGTCAATTTTTGTAAAAATTCAATCACTTTTGGTCATGCAAGTCATTTTTGTACAAATTCAAAATAAAATCAAATTTTGTCTATTAGCTTCCTTCATTACAAGTTGTAATGCGGGTGTAATGCTCTTAACTTTGTGTCTATCTTAACAGAAATTTAAGTGGGAATAATCTTAATGGCTCTGTTCCTCAAACTCTTCTACAGAAAAAAGGGCTAAAGTTAAAGTAATTATTTTATCATATCATATTTTCTTCATGAATATATTAAACCATTTTATATGTTAAATTATCTTAAACAACTTTTGTAACCCACAGTCTTGAAGGAAACTCAGATCTTATTTGTCCGGGTGGGTTATGTGTAAGCAAAGACGGGAATGGTTCCAAGAAAACAAATGTTGTAATACCGGTCGTTGCATCGGTCGCCTTTGTGGTTGTTCTTGGATCTGCATTGGCTTTCTTTTTCGTGTTCAAAAAGAGAAAGACATCAAACAATGAAGGTATACACACATGACAACTTTTAAATTAACATTTCAGAATTTTTATCATACATATATGCAAAGTCTCATGAGAATCGAATGTCTTGTAACATTAGCTCCAATATCATATACGCAAGTATCGGATGTTAGAACTGCCAGATCTAATTCAGAACCGGCAATAATGACGAAAAACAGAAGATTTGCTTACTCTGAGGTAGTGACGATGACAAATAATTTTAAAAGAGTACTTGGTAAAGGAGGATTTGGAATGGTCTATCATGGAACTGTAAATGGTAATGAACAAGTAGCCGTTAAAATGCTCTCACACTCATCTTCTCAAGGGTATAAAGAATTCAAAGCAGAGGTAAATCTAGGCAAAAACTTTACTATAATTTTAAAGAAAACATGCATTAATTGCTTTAAGAATGAACATAATGTCAAATTTTGAATTAATGGTTCTTTTACTCTTCTAGGTGGAACTTCTTCTAAGAGTTCACCACAAAAATTTGGTTGGCCTCGTTGGATATTGTGATGAAGGAGAAAACTTGGCTCTCATATATGAGTACATGGCTAATGGAGACCTAAGAGAACATATGTCAGGTAAGTATAATGAAATGCTACAAATTAAGTACCATTTTTTTGAATTTTGATGGTGTTTTCACATAATCATTTGTTGAATCAAATGTAGGAAACCGAGGTGGATCTATTCTGAATTGGGAAACTAGACTAAAAATTGTCGTTGAATCTGCGCAAGGTTTGATATGAGTTTTGATATATAGTTTTTTTGTGTTCCTCTATTTTTATTTTCTTAAACCTTGATGAAAATGAAACTTTTTATATAGGTTTGGAATACTTGCATAATGGATGCAAACCACCAATGGTTCATAGAGACGTGAAAACCACAAATATATTGTTGAATGAACATTTTCAGGCTAAGCTAGCTGATTTTGGGCTTTCAAGATCTTTTCCGATTGAAGGAGAAACTCATGTCTCAACAGTTGTTGCCGGAACTCCTGGTTACCTTGATCCAGAGTAAGTGCTTTAAGAACGTTTATTAACTTTTCTTTTGCATATTTTATGCTTTTCTAATGGCATAAAGAAACATTTTTTGCAGATATTATCGAACAAATTGGTTGAACGAAAAAAGTGATGTTTATAGCTTCGGAATTGTACTACTAGAGCTCATCACAAACCAGCCAGTGATCAATCAAAGTCGTGAAAAGCCACATATAGCAGAATGGGTGGGCTTCATGCTTACTAAAGGAGACATCAAAAATATTATGGATCCAAAACTCTATGGAGATTATGACTCTGGTTCTGTCTGGAGAGCGGTTGAACTAGCAATGTCGTGTCTAAATCCTTCTTCAGCTAGAAGACCAACAATGTCTCAAGTTGTTATCGAGTTAAACGAGTGTTTGGCAAATGAAAACTCAAGGGGAGGAACGAGTCAAAACATGAACTCACAGACTTCTATTGAAATGAGCATGAACTTTGATATTGGAACTACCCCTGATGCTCGCTAGACTGCAAAATTCATCTTTAACTTCTTTTTTTTCTATTGAATTGAATGAACTTTTGTTATTTTGAAATGAATTTGAATTTTTGTAATGAATTTCGGAACATTGATGAATGTGATTATTTATTGCAACCAATATTAGTAGCAAAGACTCGATCAGCCATGATCACCTAGAACTACACAAGATTTTTGAACTACGAGAGAGTGTACAATACAACAATCGATTGAGCTCATAACACATGTGATTTATATACAAACTAGTAGAGGACCCGCGCAAACGCGCGGTATGACGTTGCGGTTTTGTGAAGAAAATCTAAATTTAAACTCGAACCCGACCCAAAAACCCTAATCAAAATTTTAAAAAAACCCAAACCCTTTTAATATGTCTAAACCCGAAAATCCAAAATCAAAAAAATCCTGAAAACCCTGAACCAAATAAAAAAAAAACTCGAAAATTTTCCACCCGAAACCCGAATCCGACTTAAAAACCCTAATAAAAATTTTAAAATACCAAAGTTTTTTTAATATGTCCAAACCCGAAAACCCAAAATCCAAAAAATCCGGAAAACCGTGAACTAAACCCAAAAAAACCGAACCCAAACCGAACAGAAATTTTAAAAAAATCCCAAAAACAATTTGATTTAAATTAGACGTATTTCAATTTCACTATTGGAAATTTTGCAAATATCATTTGATCATATTCTATTGATTTGGTATTATCGATAGTTATGTTAATTTTTATTTTTTGCAGATTTTTTAAGAGTTGGAAAACGGAAGTTTTCTAAACCATCGGTTTGTTTTAAGTTATTATTTTGTATCCAAACAGTTTTTTCCATTTATTCTTCTATCCAAATAGATTTTTCTCTTATTCTTATATCCAAACAATTTTTTTTCCATTTATTCTTCTATCCACATAGATGTTTATCTTATTCTTGTATCCAAACATTAGAATGTACTTCTCAATTAATAATATAAAGATTTGTTGGTTGTAACTACATGGTTTGGTTCAAATTACTAACTCTATATCTCATAGAAATATACCAGAGGTGTGGTTAATGGATATCATCTAGGATAAGAAGCATCTGCCACTAATTGAGATGGCAGTGACTTGTTGTGTACGTTTCGCCGATGAAAATTTTCCATGTGTAATATATCTTGTGAACCGAGATAACACAAAACAATGATCATGTTCATGCATGTATGTACATCATCGCACATTTTCAGCAGTTAAAGAGATAACAATAATATTTATAAGAAGTAAAGAAAAAAAAACAAAGTTGAAAAATGCATTTCTGAAAGAAGAACAACTTGAGGAATAATTAAGTAAAATGAGGATGATAATGGAGAGATATATCACATCAGTTGATGATTGTGGACAACTGGATGCTCTTCTTTTTATTGATAAATCGAAGAAGTTGCCAAGTTGATGAAATCAAAAATATTCAGCTTTCGTCATCAAATGTGTCTTCTGATTTGAGAAGATACTTTGTTCTTGATTTTATTGTTCGCCTATAAGATGCGATTATAATAAATGGACATGTGCACTAATAAGGTTGTTAGATTGATTTGCGGACCCTATTTGTTGTACTTGACGTTTGGAGGACGTGTGTTCTCTTAGAATTCTAATGATTAGTAGGACCAAAACACGGATTTATTAAGCTATAAAGAGTAATTGAGATTATGTTAAACTTTCCAAAAATAGGTTGCTTCAAAGGGACATCTTTGTCTAAAAAAACGTTACATGGAAACAAACAAAAGGCCATAACCGTTCAATTTAAAAGTCAACAAGCATGATCGATTCCTCTTATCTCCCCAGCTTGCAAACCTCTCTATCGAATCCTGACTTTTCTTTTGATTATTATATAGCTTAAATATTATAAATATGATTGTTTTCTTAGAGTTTTCTGTTTGTTGGGAGTCAACTTGAGTATACGATTTTCTGATAATTATATAAAAGAGTATATTTTACCTACCAAATCATCCAGTTTACATTTGACTTCAAATGTTAGTCGTTATCGATAAAACTTTTTTTCATAACAAACTACCAAGTACCAAAGCTAGTCGGTTGCATGCTTCATTGTCTAACCAGACCAGACTAATATGGACCGCAGGACTTTAGTCCGACCGATCAAAAGCAGACCGGGATTCAAAACACTAATTGTCAAGCTAACTGACTAAAGCATTGAAAGCAAAATCTTAAAATATAATGAAGTAAAAAAAGCGCATCCATCAAAAGAACAACATATTTAAAGTAAGTATTAAACGAGACAAATGGTGTTTAATTAAGGAGATTTAGAGGAGGAAATAAGACAACAACCAAAAGACAAAAAAGAAGAATGAAAAGATAGAGAGAAGCATGTGGTGAGCATTTTAGGGTGTTCAAGTCAGGTGGGAGTTACATTCTCAAGGCGCACGCCTTCAACAATCTTAACTCTAGTACTAATCTCCAACCAATGTTTCAAATTTTAATCAACAAAAGAAAAAACAGGTCTGTGGAAAATAATTTTAGATACATAAGTTTCTTCCACTAGCACATATACGTACTGGCTTTTTTGTGCAAACTAGCTGTTGGTTATTATCTTGAAAAGAAAACAGATCTAAATCAATTTTTATATGTAGATAATGTTTCCAAGTGCCACTATTTTATAGATAGTCAATTGAATAACATTTCAGTATATTTTCATATTTATATGTTTATCTTACAGACGGACAGTTGATCGAGAACCGAAAAAAAAGACGATAAATAAAATATAAATTAGTATTTCAAAAGAGTTCTCCAAGAAAAGCTAGAAATGAAGTTATATAAAAAAAAATGCTGAGAGGAAAGAAATATAGGCACTTTCTAAACACTTTTGCTAATAATCATCGCTTCATAATTGCAATTATCTTACGCTTTCCATTCTCTAGTAAAATAAGAATAGGGTGAAAAATGTTGCAATGACAGTAATTAACATCTTTCGGCTCTGTTTTTCACAATTTCAAAAGATACTACAAAAAAAAAAGATGAGAACTTTATGTAAAAAGAAATGCAAAACAAAGACTGTAAAGTGGAAACAACACTCCCCAACACACCACTCTTCTCACAGAAATGCCTTTCTTGAGAACTGCTAAAACAATCAAGACGCCATGATTCTGTTGATGATGATGATGAGCCCCAAAAGTTTAGAATCTGCCACTATATCTCAAACCTTTTCTTATCCAGATTCTGTAAATTGTTTCAACACTCCGGATGATGAAGGATCTGATTAGGGTTTTGCAATGGAAGAAAAGATGGGTGGAATAAAGGAAACGCAGTAGAAGGAGAAGCAAACGAGAGATTAGTAGGGTCAAGCTTGGGTCTCAAGTTTTCTAAAGCCTTTACTTGTCCTCTAAGGAACTTGAGATAATTAGCAGCCTCATCAAGCATCGATGCAGTGTCCATCTTAGTCCCACCTGGAACCAATGTCTGCAAAACCCTAATCTTCTCGCTTATTCTCTCTCTTCTCTGCCTCGCTGCAACCGTCTGAGGATCCGTTGATATCCTAACGTTCTTCCTCTTAGGCTTCTCCACACTCTCCAAACCGAAATTCACCGGCCTAAACGCAGCCGCTCTGTATATCATCTCTTTCATCTGAGCAATCGCCTCTGCATCTGGCTCGCCGTTATCAGACAAAGAAGTCGAATGTTGGAAACTGATGTTCGAAGAGCCTCCTCGTTCTTTCTCTGTTCTTGGTTTCTTCGTCTTCGATTGGTTCTCATCGAATATGAGCTTGAAGTTTCCTTTCTCTGAATCATCTCGAGGATGTTGAACAAGACTGAAATGACTTCTTGCTTCATCTCCGTTTCCTCTGTTCCTCTTCAAAGACTTTGGCTTTGTTGTTGTAATCTCTGTAGTGATCTCTCTGTTTTCAGACTCTGCAGATGAGACACCACCAAAGCTCCAAAGAGTCTGACAATCTGAGAAAAGCACAGAGATTCCTTCGTCGTCTTCCGTCGAAGTGTTGTTGCTGTTCGTCGTCGCTGATAACAAACAGTCTAGCGATGATGGATCTATCGAAGTAGCTCTGTTTCCAACGTGTTCCTGATGTTGAATCTCACCTATGACTCCAAGATCAGACATGAAACAGCTCTGATGGTTAATGAGTTGGTGAGAGGAAGAAGAAGAACAGAGTTCTCGAGCCATTAACTCATTCCCTCCCCAGATCAAATCTGATCCTTGATGCTCCATGGTTTTGCTCTCTCGTGTCATTCCATACATAGCTTGAGCGTAAACTGATTCTAATCCTTCCATTGGAACAATCAACAGACAACCCTGAGAGAACAGAGAAAGTTAGCAAACAGAAATGAAATCTTGGATTTGGAGTTTCATGCAAGAAAAAAAAAAGATCTTTAACTAACCTTTTTATAATAACGGGTTGGGCATGAAATAGTGTGAAAGATGAAGAAGAGAACAAACAGATGAATACACAGTAAAACTGAAACGTTTTCTGAGGAAAGCCCAAAAGGGAAAGAAACAGAAAGAAGTAAAGGAACTGCTCAAAAAGGAAAGAAAGTGAAACAGTCTGTAATGGGATTTTATTTTGTTTGCTGTAGAAAGCTCTGTTTCTGTGCTGTTGTGTAATGAGCTCTGCTAAGAGTTATAGATGTTTTGCAGAAAGGACTTGAAAGCCTATACACCTCTCTATGCATACCCAGATTTGTTATCATGCACATATATATAGGTACATATTTATCAATAACTTTATATGTATATGTCTATATATTATTATTATTTACGGGTCCCACCTTTAGATGAGATAAATTGTTCCTCTGTATCAAGCACTAGACTTCTGTATAATGGATAGTTTACTTAAGAATTACTACTGAATAAGGATCAATGCCCAACTGTTTGTTTAAAATAAAACTTATTTGTATGGCCGTTGTAAGAAAAAATATATATTCTACAAAAAAAGTTATCTGTATATAAGAAAATGATTTTGATCTCCACAGTATTGAATCTTGAGTTTTTGTTATTATCTCAAAAACATGTATTGTATAGGTTTGAATCCGAATATGTAATAAAAATTTTGATCTCAAATTCGACTTTCAAGAAAAAGAGCTGAGCAAGAAACAAAAAAAAAAAAAAAAAAAAAAAAAAGAAACAAAACAAATTGGACGTCCAATTTTCACCATTGCGAATTTCACAAAAATCAAGATTCAAGAGGTACAACTGTTTCCCTCTCTTTTCGTTATTAACCTCAATGAAAACACCGACAATGACTTAAATAAGGAGCACAAATCAAAAGTAAACCAAGATTAACCTAAAATACTTGAAATCTATACCGTTAAACTAATGGGTATATATACCAGTACCACTCACCTTCAATTATAATCCCCACATCTACATGATCGCTCAATCAGCATGCTACACAAATATACCTTGGAGATGGTCTAATGGAGATGGTATAATTAAGATTAAATATTTTTTGTTTCTTAAATTAGGTTGGTGTGCATAATAGTTTCTGCATTCGTAGAGCATCTTTTTGTTACCCTAGAAAATAGATATAATAATTGATAACATCATAGAGGATATGATTATGCACTTGATGAAAAAGGGATAAGTATTTTAAAATCTACGAGTGCTTGAGCAGAGAAAAAGGACTGACATCCTTTTAGCATCGTGCGAACTGAAAAGTTTACGGGAAAAGATCGAAAGGAAGTTGGGTTTAGGGTTTGAATATTTTTGTTGGTGAATAAAAGATAAATGTTAATTGTATTTATAATTTTGTTTAATCATCGTTTCAATCATGGTCAAGCTGCAAAAGTAACTAGTAATTATGTACCATTTTCTTATTCTTCTAGGTGTTTGTTTACATTTTTTTTGTGGGTGTGTTTGTTTAACTTACCTTTTCGTTATCATCATCAGTCAATAATGACCAATATCACATCTCGATCTATCTTGTAACACTTTTTCCACAACCTTTTAAAAAAAACGATATGAGTCCTTTCATAGTTTTCAAGATATACTTCGAATTATGATTGTCTCAGATAGATGAACATTTGACAATAGTAGTAGTCATTTAAAAGTCCTCAAGATCTCGTGAAAAAAACAAGAAGTAAACTTTGGGGGATTTTCTATAATTAGAACTGAAAATAAAATAATTTGGAAATTTTGTGGGGCTAAGAAGATAAGCAACATCATCAGTGAGGAATAAAAGAAGAGCATTGATTTTAGGGTTAATTATACAAAATATCGCAATCCGTAGAACGGCGAGAAAGAGAGACCAAAGAAGGCGACATGACCTCTCTGCCCAACCACATGTCTTCCATAATCCCACAGCTCATTCATTTTTTCTCTTTTATAATTGTCAACTTTGTTATATCATTTTTTCACTGTTTTTTGTTTCTTCTCTCACTTCATATTTTCCACACAAGTGTGTCCATCATTCATATGATGATCGAACTCGTTACTCCAATATTTTTGTGTTAAAATGTGTTATACGGGAGGGAGACATCCTAATAGAAATGTAGATCTTTCTTACACAAAGGTAAATTATTTAAAGAACTATTAAATTTCTTGATCTGGTCGAAAGACTAAAACTAAACAAAAATATTTTTAGTTAGTATAATTCTTTTTGCGTTATATGTGAATATAACCATAGATGGTATATAGAAGAAAATGGTAAATGAGGATCAACATCACATTCACAGTTGTTGACATCCTTAGGATACTCACAACGAAAGAGACCTTGTTATTGTCCATACATGTGAACACAAATTTCTTTTTGAATAGTATCAACATTTTATTTTCGAATAATAACAAAACCTATATTAATTGAGAGACCCATAAAAAAACAAAAATTCTCAAATCAAATATTAATAATTCTCACACCTCAACCGGGAACCAAAAATGTCGGTCGAGAACAACTTCACACTTTTAATTGATGAATTTGACAATTCCCACGGTTATGGATCCATGCAATGTACCAACATTAAAACTCGACCGTGTCGGTTTAATAAGTCAACTCCAGTGTAAATAATTCCGATAGAAACCAAACCGTGTTTATATAAAACATCAAATGTGACCTCGTACGAACGTGATCCAATGGAAATTGTAGATTACTTCAACAAATTTACAAAATAATTGATAGATTTGGTCTCTTAATTATGTTTCTATTATAAACACCTTAAGAGTTAAGAGAGATTAGAGTAGAAACATAATTGAAGGGTTTGTCGGGGGTATGTCCATGATTCTGCACCCATGATTAAGAGATCAAAGTGGTCCATTATCCTCATATATGTCAATATATGAGACATCCTCTCTTAGTTAAGAGCAAAACGACGATGTTTGGACATTCTTTCCCTTTCTACAACTTTGGCTCGGTACGGTTTAAATGGTCCAGACCGGAGCTGTACAGTAAGCGAAGCTAAGCTCTGAGACTCCTTCTTCACTCTTCTTTTGCTCTCTCTCCCTTCCATTATTGCTTGATTCACACGTGAACACAACGTTCTGTATATACGCGTGGCTTTTTTTAATTGGTTGTGATCTTAGAAGATAGTCGTCCCACGTGGGAAATCAGCATGGCGTCATATTGTGGGGAGTGGGGACCTCAAGTTTTTTGTTTTTTGTTTGTTTTGTGTTGTTGATTCATATTTTCTTATGTACCTAATATGTCTTGTAACATCACCCCGTTAATGAAACTGAAACTGAATGTTATCCTGTAAGAATAAATGAATCTTGACAATGATTTGAGCTTCAATTATATTTGTATCTTGACTCTTGACAAACATATACGTAAATGTGCTATATAATGATTCTTACAATTCAGGATAGTACAACAATAATTCGGTTAGGGATACATTTTCTTAAAAATTCTAAATCGATATGAATAGTACATGTATATGAATAATAACTCATCTAATTTCTCTAATTGCGAAAAAGTATAAGAAATGTAGCTTAACCAAATGATTGTATGTTAAAAATATGATTCTAAAATCATAGAAATGATTTTCCAATTGTCATTATTCAATGAAATAAACTCACGCGGTCACACGTTTGCTTTACTATAACGACTATCACTCCACCTAAAATGCTTTTTGTCAAAAGAGTGTATTAAATATTACGAAGGGCCCAAATAACCTCAGGAAAGGAATTTAGTGGGCTCAAGCCCACGTGACTCACGCTCTTCTTTTACACACAACACGTTAAAACCACGAGAGACGTCGAGCATCACGCGCATCGGGCGCGTGTACACTCAATCGAGTCCCGCGTTTGGTTTTCTCACATTCTGTTAAACCGGGAAGATAGGCAGGGCACAGAGAGACTCCGACCGAACACGCTTCTTCTCTCCACTTTTGTGTGAAATGATTGCGATCAGAAACAGATACTTCGCTAGAGATAATTCCCAAATTAGTAAAAAAAAACAATTTGGGGGAGATGATGCAGTTTAAGTTAGAGAGGGATCAAAATAACATGTGGCTCTGTTGTGGAAGAGACCGAGTCACCCGAACATCTTCTCCTTCACGCCATTCTCCTACCACTCGGACCTAACCAACCATAACTCTCCACGTCATCGTGAATCCGAGTTCCCGTGAGTTAGGGATCTTTATTTGAAGGAACCAGACATGACCGCAGAGTCACACACACACATACACACACACACCACCACCACCATCATCCCCCAACCTTTTAGAGTTTTTGTCGTCCCCTCGTATGGAATCCATTGTTGGGGCGACACCAAAAAAAAATATCTTCTTCTGTGACGCTTCTTCTTCTTCCGTCAAAAAGATTTGTTTCTTTCCGGTGGATTTAGCTGAAACTTCTTTATTAAAACAAAACGAAAACAAAAAGTTTTAATCTTTTCGATTTGGGATTTGATCCTGATATCTCCATTTTGACACTTTTGATTTCAGAAGGTATCTGATTAAGAATTTGCCATTTTGTCTTTCTTGGGGTTACGTGTAGGAGAAGGTACTAATAGGGTTTGTTGGACTTGTGAGCGTAGGGAGAAAGAAGAAAAAGAAAGATGGGAGGAATGAAAGATGAGGCCAAGAGGATAACGATTCCTCCATTGTTCCCAAGGGTTCATATGAATGACACTGGAAGAGGAGGCTTGTCTCAGCCTTTTGATGGCAAATCAATGTCTCTCTACAAACGTTCCACTCTTCCTTCTCCGACCAGCAATAAGATCTCTGATTCTCCTTCCATTTTCTCTCTGTCTCTTCCTCCACCACCCAACAACACCCATCTCGTGAGTCCTCTGCTCCTTAAAACATTCTCACTTTTTTAATCTTCACTGTATACTCTTGGTGAGAATAAGCATTGATCAAACTAGAATCAACAATGCATACTTTGATTATCACTTTTTGCCCTGTTTGCTGAATGATTTTTTTGTTTTGTTTTGTTTAATAGACTGATCGACCTGAAAAGAATCAGTTTTCACCAATCTGTAACACTTCTCCAGCAACAAAGTTTGAGGGGAAGATAAATAAAAAAGTCATGAACTATCCAAGTCTTAGAGGATCATCAGTTACTAATACTAAGCCTAGTCCAATAAAACAAAATGAGTACCATTTCAAGAATCTCACAAACTTGGATCCTCTTAAAGTTCCTGTTGTTAGACGCTCAGAGAAAGATCCACAAGCAAACACAGACTTGTCACTTCAGTTTTGTACTATCAATAGCAGTAAAGCTGTAGGAGAAGCTGCTGGTTCAAAGACTGCCATGAACAATCTTCGTATTCAAGAAAACCGTTTGCCAGGGTGTTTGGAAAATGAAAACCAGAATAGGTCTCTGAATATGATGAAAAGTCAACTGTATAGAAGAAGAGCCATTGATGTGTTCAACGATGAAACTCAGAAGAAGCCTAAAACTCTGCCTCCAGGTGAACAAGATGTCTCCGACTGTTCTGCAATAGAATCTTTGTCTGGTATGAGTGCATCTTCTAATGATGTTGCCAGAGTGATTGGTGACAAGAGGTTTTGGAAGATGAGAACATATATGATCAAGTATGTATCCACAAACTTACTATTTAAGTCTCTTTTCTTATGATTCAAGGTTCATAGATTTTTCTGTATTTCTTACTTGTTCTTGCTGATTATTTTCAGTCAGCAGAAGATCTTCACTGCACAAGTCTTTGAGCTTCATAGACTGATAATGGTAAATCTTCTTAATTATATACAGCATGATTAGTTCAATGGAATCTGGTTGCTTTCATGTGACCTGACCATGAATCTTGAACATGATGCAGGTTCAAAAGATGATTGCAAAATCACCAAATCTTGTTCTTGAAAGTAAGCTTAACGGCGGCAAACGTGGCACAATGAGGCCATCACATTTGCTGGAAATGGCGGCTTCAAAGGTTAAGAAACCAAACACTGAGAATCAAAAACCTGTAATAATAACAGAAGACTACCCAGAGCATATGAAACCAAAGCTTCCTCTACTGCCTTCCTTAGGCAAAGACCTAGTGACACCAATCTGGCCACAACAGCTACTTCCTCCTCCTGGAAACCAATGGTTAGTTCCTGTAATGTCTCCTTCAGAAGGTCTTGTCTATAAACCATACGCAGGACCATGTCCTCCTCCTTCTTCAGCTTTCATGGTTCCAATGTATGGCCAAGATTCTCTTGAAACAGCATTCAGGTTCCCTGTCTCATCTCAGTTTAGCCACAGCTACTTCCCACCGAGGACAACAGCACTTGACCAGACAAACCCGTTTGGTCAGTTTCAAAGGTGGTCTAGCACATCGAGCCACATGACTCAAGCGATTCCATTTTCTTTAAAGAAGTCTCAGGAGTCTAATGACAGTGAGGTACATGGAAGTACAGCTTCAAGTCCACCAGAGAAGCATAAATTTGATGTGCTTCCTCTTTTCCCTACAGAGCCTACTCATCACGCCATTAAAGCCATTCCTCATAATCCAACATCTGCCTCTGAATCTGCTGCAAGAATCTTCCGTTCCATTCAGGAAGAAAGGAGGGAGACAGATCATATGATTAGTTAGTTTTTTTCTTTCACTTTCAATATTCCTCATTCTTTTCCTCTATAATTGCTTTCTTCATCTAGTTTTAGATTTTCATTTGATTCTGTTTTACTCTTCAAATGAAGATGTAAAATCAATACTGTCACTATACATAAAACATACACACACACATACACATCTTATATTGATATTGTATTCACAAACAGCAAATAAAAGATAGATTTTTCATTTTTTGTGGTTTCATTTTCTTATAATGTTCCAGTTTTGAAGGAACAAGAAGAAGAAGATTCTGATTAAATCACTTCTAGAGTTTTGTTAAGCATGGAACAATAACACTCTGTTGCTTCTTGGGACTAAAAATATATCAGTCATCTTTATTCAGTCATCTGTCAAGTTAAATGTCATTAGCCATTGAAGTATCTATATGTGAAGGGAGACAATAATGATCAGTTGTGTCCATGCTAAAACAAAGCTACACTCAAAATCCAAGAACATTTCAAACCAGAAAACCACAAGATTCCGTTTAGAATCCAAGAACCTTTGGTGCAAGTTTGAGTAAAGGCTCCAATGCGCTCGGCGAAAACTTTCTTGCAAAGAGATAACAAACTTGTGATGGCTGGTCATTGTAGAAGCAAGATTGAGATCTTGGAAGCTTCTTGAGGAACCTCTCTGTTATATCATCTTCTCCAAAAGTATCTGGATGAGCACCACCGTGTGACCAGTCTGTCCAAGTCAATGTCCGGTTCGCAAGCATTTCCGAGGAATAAACAGAGAGCATTGTTGGGAAGTAATGTTCATCCACATAGCAAGGAGGTCTACAAAACTCTTTGAATTTGCGATAGTAAATCATGTCTTCAACAATGTCAAGAGCGAGTTTTCTGTTGATTTCAAACCACTGAGACCCTTTCCTCCACTGGCTTAGGTGGATCTCTGGTCCCATTGCGTAGCTGTATCTGCCTCTACCGTAAGGCCCGTCCTCATCAGCAGAGCCCATGAAACTATATTTTGATCTTGAAACGTAGTTGTAGATGAAATCGAAACCGCGGAGAGGAATGCATGCTTCAGAGAGCAGAACAAACCATTCGTTGGAGATATCGAGCAACGCGTTAGCCAAAAGCCTTCTCTCAGCTTCACACATACTCATCTCTCCCCATGCCACAGGCTACACACAAGTTAAGAAAAACTCCTAAGTGAGACAAACCAAAAGAAGAAACATCAAAAACAGAGTTTTCTTTTTTCGTTTCTTTCTTGTAATCCAAGAAAGTACCTGACTTGGGATCTGTCTTCTGTAAAACACAGAAGAGCTTGGGAAATTCGATTTGTAACTTGGCAACGCGTGAACGTAGATTGAGTAAAGTCCCTCATGCCCTTTGAAAAACCTTTCCCAAAGTGGAGCAAATGGTAAAGGGCCTTTGGTGAGGAACATGAACGCCATTTTAGGAACTCTTCTGAACGGATAGTAATATCTCCGTGGCTCCATCGATGCACGCCAAAGAAGCTCGCTGTCATTCATGGAGTGCCAAACACTCGATGGAGGTTTGATAAAGCTCTCTAATGTAGTCCTCTCGTCACACGTAGAGGTCAATGTGGTTGGAGAAAAAGGTTGAATCTTTAAGTACTTGATCATGTGCATAGTAACGAACAGAGTATCGGACCTATCGGTATACGCATAGATCATCTTATTTGCAGTTAGGCTGCTGTGGATGTCTACTTTCATAGATTCTGAGCTTAGTTATGGCTTGAACGGGTTTATCTTTTAGCTTACTCATGTAGTTTTCATCTTGGGTACTCTCAGTTTTTTTTTTGTGACACACACAGTCAGATAAAAGGAATGTTTCTCACTGTGCTTAACAAATTGCATACTTCTGTGTCCATCTTTAAGTCTCATCAAAGTGCTTATGCCTGAATTACCCTTACATTTTTGGCTATGTCAGGGCAATTGTTTTAGAACCTGGGAATCCATCATTGACAAAGAAGCTAGCTCTTGCCGAAGGTAACTTTTTCGTTCTGTTATTTGGTGTCCATGCGAAGTTGTTTTTGCGCAGCTAACATGAGATTGTTGTTAAACCGGTTGTACCTTCCACATTTTCTCTTTCCTTTCAAACTCAGTGGTTTAAAAAACTCTTGTTTGAAACTGAAAAACACATGCTAAATTTACTACGTGGTCAGGTTTTCATCTCTCTGAGCTTCAAAACCTGTAAGTATGTAATCAAATTTGGCTATAATCGATAATATCGTAACATCTTCCCTGTACTTTCAGGAAGTCCATGGAAAATGTCAAATAAACAGAAGAAAGAACCTCCGCCTAAGAAGCGGAAAGTTGATCCACCTCCAGGTAAACAGAAAAAAACTTTTGCAACGAGCCTATGGTAACACTTTTTAAAGACTCTTGGGAGCTACTATATTTCCTTGCTGTTTTCTCAGTTCCAAATTTTCCACTTGTGGTTTATTGTAACAGTTCCAATCGGAGGTCCAAAGCCTTCGTTCAGACCAGGGGTTTCAGCCTCTACTGTGAAAAATAGGCTATCGGCTTCCCCGGGACTATCTCCTTCATATGGGATTGGGAATGTTACTAAAACTCATTCTGCTAACGAGAATGTCAAACAAGTGCAGACAAAGGACAGAGATAACGTGCTTGCTAGCGGAAAAAACCCATCAACCTGGGAAAATAATGCGTTAAGGGACACAAGTGGGGGTCAAGCAACCAACGTTGATAAAGAAGTTGATTTGCAGGCATTGCTGGTTGATCTCCTCAAAGAGGCTCCAATGAGCTTGAAGGTAATACTTGGATGAAACGCAAGATATATGGCTGTTTTCATATCAAATATGTGTACCCATCATGATTGACGCCACTCTCTCTCTATTTTTTTCTAGACCTTAGAGAAAGCTGTTGGAGACAAAATTCCTAATTCCGCAAAGAAGATTGAACCAATTTTGAAAAAAGTAAGTCATGAAAACTTTGGTGTGGTTTTATGAGGTGCAGTATGTATGATTGTGTTTCTAATTGTTGTTGATAACCAGATTGCAAATTTCCAAGCTCCAAGATATTTCTTAAAACCAGGAGCAGAGTGGGAAAGCTATAAAAAGCATTCACCTGATAGCGGAAGGTACGTGTACTCTAAATGAAAGTTTTAAATTCTCATTGCAGAATATGACACTCTAGGAAGTAGGATAGGCATAGAAATCTATTATAAGAAAATATCATCAAGCAGCATTGCTTGTTCAGTGCAGAATGAACTCTAATTCGATAACTGTTATTTGGTAAAGAATGAACTCGAGAAGCTATAAACTATACTTTTAGTTATGCCATCTTCAATTATCGGAACAAGGTTTGATTGATTGATTGATTGTTTTCTTGTGCTTATGGTTGCTTTTGTTTGAGAGTGTCTGGCTTAATGTTATTGTTTCCGTTTTGGATGTAGATGGAATTTTCATTTGGTCCACAAAGATGGCTTCCGATTGAAATGTTGCACGAGAGAGAAGATAGTCCAAAGAGCTTTGCATTGGGGCTACACGCACCTGGATTCTTTGACAAGGTGTTAAATGTCGATAAGTGCTTATTACAGAGCGAGCCAGGAAACATGGTATAGTGAAAGCAGTTACACAAACTTAGTGTCTCCATAGAGCTTTGTTACCAGAATCATTTGTTAATTTGCTCTCTTTTATAATCCAAATAGGTTCTTGCTGCTGTTCAAGAATGCTGGAGAGATCCTCAACTAAGTCTTTCGCCATATAATGCTCGTTCACATGCCGGGTTTCTTAAACATTTGATGCTGAGAACTGGAAGGTATTAAAGGTACTTAAATCAAAATGTCGATAGAATAAGAAACTTGTGTGTGTCATGGAAGTGAAAATCATGGTTGAATGTTTTGCTAATATTGTCTCATTATCAAACTCTTGGCCATAGGAATGTGGAGACTGGCTCACAAGAACTTATGGTGAATTTTGTGACATCGTCTTATAAGCCAGAGCTGTTGAAGCCTCTGGTTGATAGAATTACATCAATTCCTCAAGTGGTTCGTAATGAAAACTGTTTTGATTCATTCCTACAAACACTTTAGTCGGTTAATAGATTCACAGTTCCATGTTCTTTCTTGGCTCTTTATGAAAACAGGTAAGCGTAGTGAATAATGTAAACACGTCCGTTGGAAATACATCTGTTGGAGAAGAAGAATATACTCTTTACGGGAAAGTTACAATCTCAGAGGTCTTAAGAGGACTTACATTTCAAATCTCTGCCAACTCTTTTTTTCAGACTAACACTCATCAGGTATTGCAAAAAATTCACCAATCTAATCTCTCTACACATCTCAAATATTACACAATAACTAAGTCATTGAGTTTGTATACTATCCAGGCTGAAGTTTTATATAAGCTTATTGAGGAATGTGCTGGACTTAAGGGAGATGGCTCAGAAGTCGTTCTCGATCTTTTCTGTGGGACTGGAACCATAGGTCTTACACTTGCCAGAAGGTAGAGAAACAAAGTAGTGTCAAAGATTAACAAAAGATTTAAGAAATTTTGGATTGTTACTGAATTGTTTAGTCTGATTCTCCTCTTTCTAGGGCGAAGCATGTGTATGGTTATGAAGTAGTTCCACAAGCAATAACAGATGCTCACAAGAATGCTCAAATAAACGGCATAGAGAATGCTACATTCATCCAAGGGGATCTAAACAAGATAGGAGAGGATTTTGGGAGCAATTTCCCTGAGCCTGACATTGTTATCTCTGGTTATAATCTTCTTGCCTCTTATACTTTGCTGTTTACCAGGTTTTTTTGTTTCGCTAGACTCATTTAGAGAAGTGTTTTTACAGATCCTAATCGACCTGGTATGCACATGAAGTTGATCAAGTTTCTGCTAAAGCTTAAATCTCCACGGATCATATATGTTTCGTGTAATCCTGCAACCTGCGCTAGGGATCTTGATTATCTTTGTCATGGCGTGGTTAGTAATCTAATCTTTTCATTTTGAATCTTTTGCTTTTTGTATAATTTGTAATGGTTTTGATCAACAAAACTTTGTGGTTTTTGAAAACGTAGGAGGAGAAGAATATAAAGGGTTGCTACAGATTGATGAGTGTTCAGCCAGTGGATATGTTCCCTCACACTCCTCACATTGAATGTGTTTGCTTGCTTGAACTTTGTTGTTAAGCTCTCTTGTGACCATGGCTGCTTCGTTTGGTCTTTAAGCAGATGAGAAACAAAGAATACATAGTTTCTTTTTTTATAATAGATTTGAGGGAATTTTGATTTTTTTATTAGAGTTAAGTCTGTAATCTTTTCATCAACTGTTATAATAACATTTACAGACAAAGCATGTAGACCTTTTCTAAAGAAGTCTAAAAAATCCCTTAAGATTCTGAAAAGAGAATTTGATTCTCAGAATCGTTTGAATAAGATAATTCCACTAGGAATGATAGAGAAGAAGCAACATGATTTCACCACCTTTCATAAACCCACTTAGAAGAATCATTTGAACAAGATAAATTTGCAAAAAGGGAAAAAAGAACAATTAAATGACTTCAACAAGAAAATGATTGATGTGTCTTATACAAGAAAATGAAACTTCTAAAACTGAATGAAGGAATCAGGTTAAATAAAATGTAAAATGAGTGCATTTCAATCTTCCAATAAGCTTTCTTCTTCTATGGCTTAATCTCGTTTTCTCGAGCTAAGTTGGCGAGCATAAGCCGCAACACGCTTTGCCCACTTCACAATCTCTGCCTTGACCTTTTTGGAATCCATACGTTTCAAGTCTTTCAACGATGATGGTTTCTTCTTCCCATCCACTGATGCTGAGTCCACGAACGAGAATGACAAGCATCGATAACGACTCGACTTGCTGTGACTTCCATTACTCTTCCTCTCTGAAGCTTGTTTCTTCAGAGACATGTCAGAGATCTCTCCAAGTGAAAGAAAATCAAGAATTGTTCTAAGTTTATGAGTTATGAAGAGACTTTAAATAGAGAGACATGCGCAGACAAAAAGAAAGAGAGTCTTACAAGTTATTAGACTTGCGACGGTTTAAGATGGTAAAGACGTGTAAGCGTAGCATGTTTGTATGTTTGACTTTGTCAATGCATTTTCTTCTTCTCTTCTCGTTACTTCGCAAATGGAATCTCCGTTATTGATTCTCTATTCCAACTAAAACTTTTTATTTGACTTTTCTTTGATCTCATATTCGTTGACTAAACACGATTAAGGAGGTCAGAGCTTGATTTGTTCTCTTTCTTAAGTCTTAGTTGTAGCAAACAAAACCAGTTTGGTCTTTGCGCTCCGGTTAGATCATCATCGTCTTTGTGTTCGAAAGTCTTATCAATAAACCAATAATTATAATCAGCAATTAGCAAACAACCAAAGAGCTAAAAGAGTTTCTTTCTTCTCCATCTGAGTTTAACAAGAACTTGTAAGAGTAACAACACACATTTTGAGTATATCTGAAAATAACAAACTAAAGCAATTCTTGAAAAGAAATATGTGTAAATCAGCAACAATGTCTTCTTTCAACTAATCTGAGTTTTGTTTGTTTGTTTTCTTTCTAATTTTACACCTCCCACCACTAATTGCTATGTCTAATATTATTTACATATACACCTTCACTTCCATATTCTTCTATATCATTCTTTCTTCTCACAAGACCTAAGAATCTCTCTGTACTGTGAAAAAAAATCCACCACTCCCTAGAACAAGGCTATTTTCATCTCAGTAAGAAATATAGTCGAGAAACAAACCAGACACCAAACTCATCTCATCATGTATCGCCTGCAGATGGTAATGCTCTGTGCACTTGTCTCGCTGAGCCTTTCACTGCTTCGTTTATCCTACTGAAGACAACTTTCAGAGGAATACAAGCTACAACCTGTTCTTTCGCCTTCTCCTTACTAATTACTGTCAGCTTCTGACCACTTAGAGCAGAGAGGAACCTTGTCTTTTTGGATAGAGGTGAAGGTTTCTTTGACTTTGGTGATGGTTTATGTGGAGGAATGTGTGGTTTCTTCTTCTTGGATTTCTTGTTCCACGATGGTTTTGGCTTCACATCACCATTGACCATTGGAACACCAAGTGACTTGGTATGACTATATAAAACCCGGTCACACGATCCATCTTCAATCACTTCAACCGTTGAAGGGTGCCCGACAATAGCGACACCGTTCAGTTTACTTCTCAGGGAAATCAGCGGAACACTCCGAGGTTTATAGTTGGCTTTTACCTCGATATTCACGTCATACAGTTGAGAATTCCTTCCCATAGCCTGAGTGCCAAAGCTGAAATCACCGAGTGGCTCATGATCAGAGACGAGACAGAGAGCTAGAGAATTGTTGTTGGCTTCTTCTGCGTAAGCAATTCTTCTTTCTTCTTGCTTTTTACTCATCTGCCTTGAATTCCTTTTCCCTTTTAGCTGCCACTTTGAAGTGCTGATCTCAATTCCGTTGATAAGCGCAGCTGCTGGTCTTGTAGTACAACCAGATCCATTACTTCCTTCGTTTTTCACCATATCATCATGACTGCTCTGACCAGATTGCCTCGTCGGTTCAGAAACAAGAGCCTTCCTAGGTGAGGAAGATGTGAGAGCCGCAGTCGAAATACCTGGAACAACAATGGACATCAGTTTAAGCCATTCTGATCACAAACCAGGAAAAGAAGCCACTAGATATAACTGATCAAGCTTTTGATCCAAACAGGCAGAGAAAGAAATGAGAGCAGATAACCATCTTAAGCTAACACCATAAACAATTAGCCACAGATAAGTAAAAAATGGAAACATCTATAACAATTAGTTACTGAGTTGAGTACAGGATTAAGAAAAGCATCTATTGCTAAAACAAAGAGTCAGTAGTATTCTGTCCCAGAGGATTTGTCCAGAATTTAGTCAGATAAGCACTTTATCCATCATGTAACAAATCTAATTGATGATTCTTCCGAGCTATTATGCTTCCTCTCGTCCTAAAAATCGAGTTTTCGTCCAACCAAGAGTAACAGAAGTGTGAACAAATTCAATCACCACAACTTTTACTAAAAGGTTTAGCCATTCATACCTGCAGAGTATTTATCTTCTCCAATTACTGGAACATCAAATAATCCACTGGACGATTCATCCTTTGCCGAAACTGATATCCTGGAGATTTCACTCTCTTTGGCCTTGCTATGGATTGCTTCAACAACATTCTCACATGAAACCTCATTGCTTTTATTGTTGCTGTTGTCAATTACAGCAGAAACTTTGCTTTCAGAGATCCCTGGAAGAAGCAAACAATCCGAATTGACAAGTTCGTCAACAGGAACACACACCATAGCTGTACTCGGAGAGCAATCCATGCTATTACCATTGGCAAGAGTTCCATTCGGCATAGAACCATTGATCCTTATATCACTTTCAGAGCCATTTTCCTCCTTAGCCTCGAGCAGTGCCTCGACCTGTACTTTTTCTTTCGATCCCACACCAATTCCAATATCCTCAAGCCCTCTCATTCGTTTGTTCCCTTCAGTCCCATCCTCTTCCGAGTCATTTGGTGTTCTTCTTCTCTTCTCTGACAAAATCTGCACCTTAGAAGCTTTGACATAATTGGTTTTTCTCAAAGACATACTAGTTTCTTCAGTCTTTGCAACATCAGTCGAGTCCTCATTGCCCTTGCTGGAAACACGTCTTCGTAATCTAGCCTTCTCAGTACACGAACCATCTGGTTGATCTTTGGCAAGGTGTGCAGTCTCAATCTCTAGAGCATGCGCAATGGCATCTTCCCGGCGAGCATACTTGACAGCCTTCTTGCTAACGCCTGATGCAGTAGCTTTCGCCGTCTCAATACAAGCATCATACTCCCCACAACGAAACGCCTTCACTCTCTTTGACTTTTCAAGATTGTACCAATCCCTGGAAAAGATCATAAAGCAAAACCATTTTAACTCTCACTACCACATCATTGTTCCAATATCAATCAATCATATTGACAATGAATCAAAACAAGAATGTTGAATCGATCAATCACTCAGCTAAAAGTCAATTGAATAAGGAGCAGTAGGAGTACTTACACGCTAGCGTCTTCACGACCTAGAAGCTTAATTGGAGTGCCAGATTTAGGGGAAACAATGGAATCATCAGGAACCTCGTGATGAGCCATTATCCGACCCGGCCACCATGACCCGTTACGGCGTCGGACCCAAACCAAGCCTCCCACCGACGCATCAATCGCCTTTCGCTCATCACTACTCCCCATCACACAGACACACCAACTAAAAAATCCCCGTCGGAGCTCACAGAACGCAGGAAAAATCCCAAATTGATATTACAAATTCGAGGTGATGATCATCGCCGTGAAGTTTAATCTCTTCAGAGGTATGCTTCTCTCTGATAAACTCTGTAACCGACAGAATCAGAGGAGCCTCAAAATGAAAAAAATCGAAGCTCAGGAGCTGTAAACGCTTGTTGACAGATGTGAGACTGGTTGCAATAGGGTTAGAGGAAGATCTGCCCGCGGGAAAACAAGAGATCCAGCTAGTCCTCTCCTGAGATATGTACTCTAAGAAATTTCTTCTCTAGGTTCGAAGTTTCTATATTTTTCCGATCAATTTGATCAATTAGAAGCGAAATCGGTGTTTTTGACTTGAAGGTTTTGGCTTCCTCCGGCCTGTAGAAGAAACGCAGAGAGAGACACAGAGAAGAGAAGAGAAAAGAGAGTTTTTTTTTTCGTCTTTTTTTTTTTGTTCTTTTGAGTTTTTGAGTTTGATGATGCCAACCCAAAACGAAGAAGGCAAACTAAACTACGACTAAAAACGACTACGTTTTGGGGATTCTTGTTCTATTACTATTTGCTTTCCTTTACGTCACGAGACGATTGTGAATTCCGATTTTCGATTGTGAATTCGATTTTCAGATTTTGATTAGGGACAAACAAATCCTCTTCTCTGATTTTAGAGCATTTCTTTAATGAAACGTTTACTGGGATAAGAACCTTTGTAACTTTTACAACTACAAGTACTGAAACTGCATATTTATACACTAGAATTTAAGGCCTAAACATATATGAGCCCTCTTAAAGCCTAATGGCATTTTCTCCGATCTATCAGATTACTGCCATTTTAATTAGACATCTTAAGTTAAGTAATTAAGTGTCCATGCTCATAATATTCATAACATATGCTCATAAGATGCTCATATTATGCTAATATTATGCTTATATTATGCTCATACGACACATTTAAGCCCTGGATTGCGGTAATATGCTCATATTATGCTTATATTATGTTATGTTTCGCCCTATTGTTTGTAACACATTTCTTTTTCTTAGGTCTACAACAAGAGACACAGACAACCTTTCCAAATCGCAGCTCTTCTTTGCGGTTTAGCTTTCGGCACAGTCTCCAAACTTCTCTGCCATCCCTTGGATGTTGTGAAGAAGAGATACCAGGATTTTCATCGTCATAAGCTAGACCAATGTTCAAGCATTTTATATATTATCTTACAATCATTTTATATCTAATTGTCACTGCAGGTGAAGGTCTACAACGGGATCCGAAGTATGGAGCCAGAGTGGAGTTACATGCCTACAAAAACATGTTTGACGCTCTCGGCAAGATTACAAAATCTAAGTTCCATCAACAATCAAAGCAGCACCTGCGGCTGCTGTAACATTCTTCACATATGAGCTGGTGTCCCCTTTAATGAAGAATTAAGGCTCCAACGTTGCATGTGATTTCAGAATCGTCGACAGTAGTTTGGTTTGTTATCAAGTAATGAGCTTCTTTTGTCTTTGTTTATGAACTTTTTTACTTGTTTCGTTTATTATTAAGTGATTGCTTCTTATGTTTGTGTTTATGAACTTTACCTGCTTGGTTTATTATTAAGTAATTGCTTATTTTGTTTTTGATTATGAACTTTTCATGATAAGGAATTTGAG